ATATATATATAAGGATAGGGACTGATGTTCATAATAAAGAATAAAGATTAAATAAGATTTCCAGCCAAAGCCAATAACTCTGCACGCGAATGGAATACATCTCAAATCCATTCATTAAACGCATAACACACTGTAGTAACGCATAGAAACTCTGAGTTGGCGCCACAAGATTGCGAGGTTTCTGGCTTACGACATGAGGGGTAATGGAAGTCTTGGCCAGGGGAACCAAAGCCGCGATCTTCCAGAGCATGTGTTGAGACAGAATTCAGAATTCACATTCAACTCTGATGCTAAATTTCTGACCTACTGGCTCATTCGTTAACTTTCCACGATAATGGATACATCCATTGTTCGCTGCATAGTAAACATTGCAGCTATAATTTAATAAGGTAAACCTTTTATTATAAACGTTAAACACACTTTTCCGTTACTGATTATTTCCCTTGTACACCTAAACGAGGTCTGCATGTGTACATGAGTTGGTTTTGCACTTTCCACCAAAACATAATGTTTGTGAATACATCGATGTTTTAAAAATTATTCGGAATAATTTTGCAATTGCATAATTACAATTGCATCATGCGAGCGTTTTTCTGCCTGCCCTTATGGCCCCCTCAGGGGGTGAGGCAGACGCTTACAAGACCTGAGGCAAAGACAGGTCCACCCCGGACCTGAGTTTCTCTCCGGCACTCTCGTCTTTAGCTTCAAGATGAAGGCAATAAGTAGGTGGCTTACCACCCACCTTTGTCCAGGGTTGGGCGAAGGGTTGTCTAGACGGTATCCTCTGTCCAGCACAGCGGCGGCATTCAAACCCACATTTAAAGTCCAGAGGGTCAGCATGAATCCCCCGTCAGGGTTGCCTAGGTTCTGGTGGCACTCACGTCGATAGCTTCAAGGTGGAAGTAATGGGGAGACGCGTTGGGACCCGCGAGCACTCCGGCTTTGGCCCGGGGAACCCCAGTGTCAGTGCCTCCTCTTGATGTTTTCTTTGTAAATAGTTCAATGAGCATTCTGTTGTTTTTCTTTCTTTCTTTCTTTCTTTCTTTCTTTCTTTCTTTCTTTCTTTCTTTCTTTCTTTCTTTCTTCTTTCTTTCTTTCTTCTTTATTTCTCTCTTCTTGGGCTTCTTTAGAGAACTGTCCAATAGGAAGTTTGCAACTTTTCATTATATCCCTTCCATGATATAAAATCTTATTGAGTGCATGCAATACCAGTTGAAGATACATGACTCGTGTCGTTAATACACTTTTCACAATTATTAAAGTTAATGTTGTCGCCACTGTTTAGGCATTCTAATGTGTCTCCAAAATGCTTTATTATATCCAGATTTATTACAGTTATTTTTGAATTGTTATTGCCACTTTGTGTTTAAGGCGTGTCGACTACCAGTACTAAATCCTGTCTGTATTTTTCGTAAATTTATTGTTCCTTTGCGATACATTTTCGTTATGTTCTTTTCTTTTTACGTGACTTGTCTGCATTTCGAGTCGATGTGAAATGTGCAGAAGACACTCAAAATAGCGTTAGCCACGAATGAAGAGGAGATATTCCAAAGCAAGGATATTTTTCTTTCTTTTGTTAAAGATGGTCCTTGATTCAAAAATGTGCGCTCTTTCTTAACTGTTGTACATCTATTTTCTTAGGAGAAGCGATTGAAAGTTCCTTTACTATCAATAAGCAGAATCTCTTTTACCTTCTTTTCTTAATTTTATTTCAGTAGGTTTTCTCAGTCCTTCAGTGGATGAATGTAACAGCAGTTTTACTTCCTGGTTCTCAAGCTTTAGATCCACACAAACAAAAACGCTTAAGTAGGCTGCTAATCACTATACTCGCATTATCTGATTTTCAAGTGTTTGGAGCACTTTGCAATAGACTTGTATAAAATTTGATGTCTTCGTGAAGGCACGATGAGTAATTTATCCATAAAACGCTGTTTATGCCTAGCACATTTCACCATTTTTTGATAATGAACTGACAAAACTTATTAATTTGAGTTTTCATCACACTTGTCGAAGTTTTTCTAATAGTTTCTTCACCTAATTCGTGTAAAACCATATTAAAGTCAGCGCCATACCTTTCCTCCGTGCAGCTTTTGCATCAAACATCAAATAATGACCTCCAAGAAATTGAGCGCTCCCCTGCTCCCAAGTTTAAAACTCTTGAGTGTGGAGGTATGCGCAGCTGATCTGTCATGATTTCGATAGCCAAAAGAACAAGGTCTAATGTTTATATAGACATAAGCGTCAATCATAATAATTCTATAGTAAAAGCTTAAATAAATTTGTAAAATGGCGTGAAAATAACATCAAAATTACATAGTTTTTCAAAACACCCAACAACCAATCGAGAGCTCTTTTTACTTATCTTGGGGCACCACTAAAACAAAAAACCTTCCAAAAGATAATTTGTGAATGATTACCGTGCTATAAGTGCCACTTGATGCACACTGGTCTCCAACACGAGATACTATAGTGAAATGCTACTGACAGAACCGTCCAGTGACGTTAGATCTGCATATTTGAACTTGTTTTTCCGCCTACTTAAGCGATTCATAAGAAAATCTATTCTAATTTTACGCACTTGAGACCCTTTAAAATAAAATATACACCCCCAGATAACCCTTCTAAGTACTTTGGAAACCAGATTTTTTGGAAACAAGATAAATGGCCAAAATTACTCATTGTGCTCCGTGAGAAGTATACACAATCGATATACCTTCCTAAAGAAGAAAGAAGTCATCAATTTTTGTTTTTTTTGTTATTTAATGTCGCATCAACTTCTAGGTCATTAGCGACCAGTAACGCTTGTAACGGTATGATAACTGAGGATGACACGATACGATGATGATAGGGGGCGAAAGGACGAACACGTTACAACCATGCGGTTCGGCGGGACTCGAACCCGCGATCCTCTTCACATTTACCATTCCGTTTAATGCAATAGTGGTAGCTAATGATCTAGAAGTTGATGCGACCTTAAACAACAAAAAAAACGTATCAAGGCGGCTAGACAATCCACTTATAACCTGCCCTGACCCGAAGATCCCTGAAACACCTGATTTCCATTGAAAATAATGGGTACCGGCCGTTGCTGGGTTTAAAGCACGCCCCCTCGCTGAGCCGATGGCCGGGGTGGGACTCACCCTTGGCGTGGGCCTGCTGGTCCAGGCGGAAGAGGTCGGCGCCGCGGCGGCCGTCGCTGAGCTGGCCCAACCCGCCCGACAGCCGGCCGCCCTCGTCGCGTCCGTCGTACAGGCGGTCGCGCAGGTCCAGCCCCGGGCCGCGCTGCGCGCCCTGCGGCATGGCGTAGCTCAGCAGGCCCTCTGCCGACACACGGGCGCGCACGCCGCCGCCTTCACACAGTGTTCAGAGGGGAGGCATTGGAAGGGATACGGAGTCGCGGAAAATAGGGCTCACCTTTGTTTCATAAATCAAAAATACAGATTTTACAGATACTACCCCTAAAATTAGACATTATGATCGAAACGCCTAACAAACGTGTTCATGGAACTACACTGAGTGAATAGAAAGCATTACAAAATGTAAACAAAAATTGACACGTCGGAATTAAAAACATTTTTCTTTGTCTACCAAACATGGTAAACATTTGGGATAGCTTATTCCTTTAATTAAATGAAACATATTAATGGAATTTATTTACGATAATAAGTGTTTCCTTGGGGCGTTCTGAAGGTAATTAGGGGAAAATCGAAATTAGAAGATTTTAGGGGAGAGAAGCTATGTTCTAAGTGAACGTAAAATATCAGATACCATTATTTACACTTGAATGACTTAATTTATACATTTATCTGAACATAAAATACAGTACAAACACACGTATTGGCAACAGTTAAAAACATGTTCATAAATTTTCAAAATTCTTAGGTTACAGTACTAAGTTCGTAATGTGAAACAGGTGATTAGCATTTTCTGAATAGACACTTGCCTAATTATTGCCAATTTTTATTTTTTCATTTTTTCTTAATTCCTTTCCAAACCTCTATTTCGTTTCAGTAATGAACCCTACCAAATTGTGGTAATAGTAGGATACTTGATTCAGTAATGGCCAATCGATATTCTATCCCCTGAACGTGTTTGACGCCAAACAAGTCCAAAAAAGTACCGGTTCGTGATTGATCAGATGATTTCGTCACAATCTTTAAATATAAGATAAGAGGGAAAAAATTAATTATCTTCCTTGTAATCCACACCAGTAGAAGACATAACTGTACATTATGGAAGTTTGAAGCAAGTGGGAAGCTTCCAATTCTTCTTTTTAATTTTTTTGCTTGATGGGGCCACTACAAACACAGCAACTACTAATGCTGTCATTACTCTATTTATAAATCTTTTTATTATTACTATTTTTGTCGGGGAATAGTTTCAATTTAAACTCGAGAACTATTTTTAAAATATTAGGCTATTTAACAACTACGTCAAGTGTTAATATTACGAGGCGCCTCCAAAAGTACGTTTCCCTAGGTAGTCGACAACAAGAAAACACGGTTTCATGGGAAAATGTTATTGTAGCGGATGCACTATGTTTTCAAACAATATGCACTAGAATTGAGGTATTTGTCATACCGTGGATCGACATTTGTATCTGTGTCATAAAAGTCTGTCGCTTGAGATGGGTACTAGCGGTTGACATTTACCCTCTTGCGTCATTGTGATACGCACGGAGCGGTGCGGAGAAACAGGAATTTGCAGGAGGCACTAGATCGCAACAGATCTTCCCCGACAGACATTTGACCACCCACTGTGTGGATGTCGCCCCCCACGATTTCCCTCTTTTCTTACCCTCAAGAAATTCCGTTTTGTTGGCAGCAAAGGGAAAATTACTTTCTTATTTTACCACGTGCATAAATTTACAAACTTGAATCATTCTGAATCGTACTGATATTTAACTAAAAGTATTTTCTGTGTATATTTTCAAGGGATGAGGTATGGCTTCCAAGGCTACCCACTGGAGACGCCAATACGCGCACAGACTCTATGGGCAGTTTATGGTAAAAGTTGGAGAAGGTTGCAGTAATGACTGAGAAAATTCACGTAGAAGAATAGACTTAACGTACGTTGACGTTAACGAGGTACGTCAGAGGCTGTATACTGGAGGGTGTACGTCGGAGGGTGTACATCGGAAAGTGGTCGTCGGAGGGTGGTCGAACAAGGGTTATAATCGGATGGCGGACGACGGAGAGTAGACGATGGAGAATGGATGACGGAGAAAGGACGACGGAGCGTTGGAAACCGAAGGTTGTAAAACGGAGGGTGGAGAGCGGAGGACGGAGGGCAGTGGACCGTCAGCGGAGGAGAGAGAACAATAGGCAGACAACTGAGGGCGGTGGGTGGAGGACAGAGGACAATGGCAAGACGATTGAGGACGGTGGGTGAGGATGAGGGTGAGGTGATTGAGGATGAGGGCAGAGGGCGGAGAGGAAAAACAAATTACAAAAAGGATGACCAAATAAAGAGAGCGGATAGTGGATGGTGGATGATAGATGACGGAGGTCGGAAAGTGGGGGACAGAGGATGGAGGGTGGAAAACAGAGGGCATAGGTCAGAGGGCAGAGGATGGAAGATGGAAGACGGAAGATGGGAAGTAGGGGTCTGAGGACGGTGGGCTGAGCGCAGAGGTTGGCGGGCAGAAGGTACAAAACGATGGTAGAGAAAGAAGGACGAAGGAAGGATGGACAGAAAAGGGTCGGAGTGCCGAGATCGGATGGCGGAGAACGAATGGCGGAGAACGGATGGTGGAAAACGGATGGTGGAAAACGGATGGTGGAAAACGTATGGTGGAAAACGTATGGTGGAAAACTGATGGTGGAAAACGGATGGCGGAGAACGGATGGCGGAGAACGGATGGCGGTGAACGGATGGCGGTGAACGGATGGAGGAGAACGGATGGCGGTGAACGGATGGAGAAGAACGGATGGCGAATTGATGGCTGAGAACGGATGGCGGAGAACGGATGGCGGAGAACGAATGGCGGAGAACGTATGCCGGAGAACGTATGGCGGAAGGTGAAAAGCAGAAGACAGAGGGAGGAGGACTGATGTCGGAGGATCGAGAGCGGAGGTCGGAGGTCAGAGGGTGCTGTGCAGAAGACTCACCCGTCCAGCGGCAGCCCAGCAGCTCGACGCGCATGCAGACTGTGCGGAGGTGCTCGGAGTAAGGCACGAAGCGCACGCGGCTGGCCAGCACGGGCGGCTCCAGGCGCTGCTCCACCACGGTGTAGGTGTTGCTGTTGCCCTGCAGCAACTGAGGAAGACACGGCGCGTTACAAGCGCTCCCTCCGCCATATGTTACATACTAATAGCATGGCTCTCGTGTTTTAATGTTTTGAAATACATGTTTAATTTTATGCAGTGTGTATTCTGCCGAGAAGAACGTTTAAATAATGTGGTAAATGTACACGGACAATGGATTCGATAAACATCGCAAACAAATAGTCAAGTAACTCTCATAGGTAACTCGAATTCGTCTTTCCTGGAAAAGTGTCTTTGTGTGTGTTAGTGCCAATGAGGCAAATGGCATCGGTACATTCGAATAAAAAACATCGTGCTTTGATGTGGGATTCTCATCATGTTTATATTGAAAATTATATAGACTCACAAATATTAACAGTACGTGAAAATACAATGAACTGCAAAGATTTACAAGCTTGCTAATTATTTTGTGTACATATCTGTACAATTATTTTAAGGATATTATACAGTGCACGTTGGTTTCCTCTTTCGTTCCAGGCCACAATCAATATTTAAAAACATCTCAACAACGGATTTGTATTTGACGCAGGATTGTTGTCTCGGCAGATGTGTGTACTACGTAACTTTCATTAATTGTATTTACATTTTCTTATTCTAGAAATCATGTCACTAGATACAACAAACTATAAAATCTTATATTAATATTATTTTATTTTCTATTCTGGAGTACAATATTTTGAAGTACACACTGCGCTACCTAATTTTGAAAAATTGCCTCCGCACCTGTCAACTTCGTGTTCGGCGTACACCAAGAAAGGCATTGGGAAAACTTTCCAAATTCAGGATGGATTTTGCTAAAGATGCTAGCCCAAATTGACAAATTAAGTTATTTAAACTTGAATTTTTTTGAATTCATTAGAGTGGAATAGTATAGAATATTTATTTTTCTACTTAGGAACACAGAATATTTCCGGTGATCGCGTTTTCTAGATAGTTACAAAAAGTACACTCAACAAATATTTTAATATTTACATTACATAAATTTTACAAATTTAATGTATTAACCCCGTCGAACTGTAGGTGACCTGATATAAAATAACAATAATACCAAAAAATATTTTATGTTAACTTATTCTAAAAATAATTTATTTAGTCTCATTTTAAACTTTTTGACATTCTGAAGGAACGTCTCCAGCACTGTTGTAAGTCATTCGTTCCAACTTTGTATTGTTCTGTTTACAAATGAGAATTTACCTTCATCTACTATCTTCATACCAAAATTTTTAAGCCATGATCCTTCCGCGTGACCTATGATGGTTTTGATATTCTTGTACGATCACCTCTTATTGATTCGCACAAAAACGTAACCACGATACAAATTCAGAATTAGAAAGTCCTTTTCTAACACATTTTGCGCCATATTTTTGTACTAGTTCGAGAGATTGTATTTGCCCTAAATGTTATTGGTCGCTACATATGGAACCATATTCCAATAACGGTCGTACTAGAGATGAGTATTCTTTTACCACTTCAATTTGAAACAATTATCTAATATTGAAAGGTCAATTTAAAATTGACAGTTGTAACCATTCAAGGTAATTAAACACGTTAGCATATTGCAAATAAAATATTGGCAATTAAGAAATAAATATTTCCATTTTTACCGAAAGTAAGATTATATTTTAAAACAGATATTCACTTTCAATTAAGTAAAATTATGAAGTTATGTCTTTTTAACTATCTCTATGGATTGAAAAAACTATACAAAATAAAATAACAATGTATTACAACCTAGATTAATTTTCAATTAATCCTGTTAATTTCAAGATTTTATTAAAATTTACTGTTTATTCTATGAAATCGGATAATGATAACGAGTGATAACACATTCGGGGCCCACTACCGTTTATTTAAAGAACAATGTCGAAATTTGGTTTGGTAAAAAGTTAAACATATTTCTAAACTAGTTAGTGTTTTAAATATAAAGGTATTATTCCAAATGACCTATTGCGAAGACTTTCCAGCATAGTTAAAGCATAAGGTTAAGAAAAGGAGTTTAATTGAATTTGCATACGTGTTTGTAACCGTTCTACTTTCCGCGAAACACATAATTGACACGTAGGGAATGATTGAACTTAGTGGAACATAGGTAGTGAGAAGTAGTCGTAAATGATACACTTCTGCGGAAACTTTTGTCTTAGCCTTTGGTGATATGTTGGTAATACACTACTTGTTGATTGAATTCCTGATGCTGGGAGGAATTATACATAATTCTTACCAATATCAGGATTTTCTGAAAGAGAAATCACTAACTAGAATTCAAGGTAAAGCAAATTATTATGCAATTATAAGTTTTATTGTGTGCAAGGCAAAGTAGAACATACAAAATAATAAATATTTTATTGATTTCGTGATTCTATTAACTCTGGTTTTGTGTATTTAAATGAAACCTCTACTTAAATGTGCCAAATGTCAAAAAAAAATCACCATGTCCCAAATTGGGACATAAGTACCCCACAGACGCAATATTGTCTCTTTACTTTTTAATTTTAGTGACAAAGCAATAATTTTTTTGTTCTTTTAAATTTTGATACGCAAGTATCGTATGTCGTATACTTTACATATTTGGATGAATCGTGTACGTGATAGGTATTTTCATTTAATAAGGAAAATGTTAGGTTCACTGTGCCCCATCTTCCCCTATATACAATTTTCAAACATTGTTGTTCAATAGTAATTTTGCATTTGTCATTGAAAAATTTTATACAACTAGAGATTCTACTTTCGGAGAAATTTCACCTCAAACATCTGCGTACGGGTTACCCAATTGGTTCAGTTTAAATGCCTTTTCTTTTCAAATATTTTGCTAACATAAACGTTTTCACAATATTTCCCCGAAATTTCTGTTAATTCTTGCCCACTTTTTTCAATTCATCGGACATCGAAAATTTATGTAACCACAAATTTCAGGTCAGCGCGGGGCGAATGGTAAACCACAACTTCAAAACCAATCGAATCTAAGCAATTGGCTCGTAGTGAGTGCTGTTATTGCTCGCCAAACCGCAAAACTTCATGATGCCAATTACAGCGAGTGTTGGATGAACTAACATTGATCACGTTGAAAAAAAAATTAATCCGCGCCTAAATAAGCGAAAGCCTCGATAAAGACCGAATAACAGCGCGTCCGGGGGTCAAAGCATCGGCATCCCGGCCGCGCGCGCGAGCTATCGCTATCGCTAGTCAGCCAA